GAAGATTCGGAGGATATCTCTCTTGCAGTTTAGCTTGCACAATGTAAGAATTATTACAAGAAGTTAGAAATTTGAGCTGTCTATAAGAAATTAATGCTTTAATTTTAAAGATTTAATATTATTTTTAATACTAAGGTTGATTAAAGAGAATACAAAACTGAACTCCATTTATTTCTTTAAGAGTCTGTTTTCTTAAGTAGAACAACTTTTAAAACAGCAGATGGTTTTTCTAGTTGCTTCTTTGTAGTAGGTTACAAATAATAATGAAATATTCAAGCAATTACTTTTAAGAAAGAAATGTTGGTGTTAATTACCATCTTGTGTTTTAAATAATATAGAATAAAAATAATTAAACTTTGTAATATTTATAAGGCTAAATAATAACTTTTTGATAATTATATGTTACAGATGCTGTGAAACTAATTCGTGTAAATTATATCCCTGGATTCATCAGTTCAGCAATAACAAACGATCTGCTGATCAGATACAGCCAATTTATTTCCCAGATGTTGACCCTCACAGTCTTCCTCCTGGTGCCAACTTTTCTATGACAGCAGGCGATTTTCAAGAAATCTACTCTGAGAGTAGTAAGTGGGGAGGAGCAGGAACGAGACTTGGAAAATAAAATTCGTCCAATCCTCAAAAACAAGACTATATTAGATAATTCAAATTATGTTTTTAAAGCCTTTATTTTTTAAAAAAGCTTCAGTTGTTAAGTTTAAAAAATGAATACATCTCAGTTTGTCTATTAAAGTGCCTTATAATTTAACTGGAAGATATTTAGTTATTAGAGGGACAAAACTCTGATCTCACCTGTTTCTTTTTCCAGTTAGCAAATAAGACTTGATCATGCTTTAGCATTATAATAAAGAGCAGGAAAGTGTTTGCATAAAATAATCAGGTTTGATCAGCCTCTTTTTCCTTTTCTCCCAGATGGAAAAGGAATACAGGTAGTCCTTGACTTATGACTATTTGTTACAATGGCACTGAACGAGTCGTGGTTACAACTGGTCTTCAGAGTCCAGTCATATGATCACGATCTGGGCCCTTGGCAACTGGCTTGCACTTACAACCGGTTGCATCATCCTGTGATCACATGATCGCCATTTGAGACCTTCCCTGCTGGCTTCCCCAGAAGGTCAATGGGGAGGCTGGCAGGGAAGGTTGCAAGTTGCTGAAATAAATCTCTCCCACCCGCACACACTCCCTGAGCCCCTATGCTCGCACAGCACTGGCTACCTGCACACCGCCATGTACCCTAAGTCTCACCATGCCTCCCCTGCCACTCTCACACCCTCCCTGAGCCTTGCTGCATTCCCTTGCACCCTTGCATACCCTCCCCAAGTTTTGTCATGCCTCCCTTGCATCCCCGCACATCCTCCCTGAGCCTCGTTGCTCCTCCCTTGCATCCTTGTGCAGCCTCCCCAATCCACACTGCACCTTCATTCACCCTCTCCGTGCCTCTCTTGCACCCTCGCCATGCCACCCTCACACACCCCGCACACTCTTGTGCACCTGAGCCTTGCTCTACCTCTCTCACACCCATGCACACCCCTCATGCCATTCTCCCTGGCAGCAGCCACTTACCTGCCTGCTGGGCTGCTTGTGAGCCGCCTGGTACTTGCAAATTCCTGCTGGATTCCCCACTGACTTGGTTGTGGGAAGCTGGCAGGAAGTTGCCTTGCCTAACAACTGGGGAATTCAGTTAATGGCAGCAACCAGGACTGCAGGGATTGCCGTTGCTAAGCAGTGCATTTCCACTTTACAACTGCATCGCTTAGTGACAGAAATTCTGATCCCAATAGCTGTTGTAAATCAAAGACTACCTGTAAACCAGAATCACTTTAACAGTATGATGTGCAGAACAAATATTGGTTTAAAATAGATTCTAGTTTTTTTATTTTAAAAACTTAACAAAAAACATAAATGCAGAGCACAGTAGTTGAAGTGATCTTGTTTAGCATTTGACTAGAATTAATTTTACTTTTGATGGCTGGTGTGGGTCTTCCGGGCTGTGTGGCCGTGGTCTTGAAGTTTTGTTTCCTA